ACAAATATATACTGAATGGTTTAAAGGCAGATTAGACGTTGCTAAAGAAAACATTAGTAAAGACACAATAATAATAATCCAAATTGAAACACAGAGGAGAAAATAATTTTTTTAACAATAACAGAGCATCAGTGAGCTGTGGTATGGCTTTAAACAGCCTAGTACACATTTAATTTGAGTCCCTGAAGGAAAAGTATGGAGTACAGAAACAATTATCTGAAGAAATAATGGAGGAAAACTTTTCTAAATTTGATAAGAACTATAAACCCACAGATCAAAGAAATTCAACAAACCCTAAGCACAAGAAACAGGAAGAAAACTACAGAAGGCACATCATAATTAAATGGCTCAATACCAGAGATGAAGGGAAACAGTGCAAGTGAGAACACAGTGGAGCTAGATCTTTAAAGTACTGAATGAAAAATGCCAACCTAAAATTCTATACCGAGCAATAATAACTTTCAATAACTAAGGAAATACTTTTCCAGACTTATAAAAGCTGAAAGAATTCACCATCAGCAGAGGCACACTATAATAAATGTTGAAGAAAGCTCTTCAGACAAAAGGAAAATGACACCAGATGAAAATATGGATCTATATAAAGGCATAATGAACACCAGAAATGGCAGCTTCATAGGTATAAAATATGAATACAATGGAAATAAAAACGTATGATTTTTTAATCATTTAAACCTCTTTAAAACACAATTGACTTTTACTAACAATAATGTAGCATGGGCTTTGTGGCATATGCAAAAATAAAATGTATGACAACCACAGCACAAAGATCAGGACAGAAGAAATAAAAGAATACTATTGCAATAGGTTCTTATATAATATGTGAAGTGGTATAATGCCATTTGAAGATATAACTTGAAATTAAAGATATAATTATAAATTCTAAAGCTACCACTAAAATTATCATAGTTACAGCTAATAAGACAACAAAGGAGATAAAATGTAATCATAAAAAATACTCAAATAGTCAAAAAGAAATCAGAAAAGGAGAAAAAGAGAACATAAAACTGATAAAACAAATATAACACAAATGTCAAGATGACAGATTTAAACATAACCACATCAATTATTACTACATTAAGTGTAAAATGGTTTAAATGCCCAAAAAAGGCAGAAGTTATAGTATCTGATGAAAATGTAAGAACTATATGCAGTCTACTTTAAATGGAAAGACATAAATAGGTTAAAAGTAAAAGAATAGAAATATATATCATGCTAACAACACTAATCAAAAGAAAGCTGGCTGGAGTGACTATATGAATATCAAGACAAATGATATTTCAAAGCAAAGAATATTCAAATGGATAAAGCAGGTCATTACATAATGATAAACAGGGTGAATTCACCAAGAGGACACAATAATCCTAAATGTTTATACACCCAGTAAGAGCTTCAAACTACATGAAGCAAAAACTTCCGCAAAGAGGAAGAGGAAAACCCACAATTACAACCTGAGATTTCAATATCTCTTTATCAATAATTGATAGAACACTACAACAACAAATCTGTAAAATACAGAACACCTGAATAACACTACCAAAGCCAACTTGGCTTAAGTGACATTTATAGAACACTCCATCCCTAAAAACAACAGAATGCACAACCTTTTCAAGTACATATGAAACATTTACCAAGGTAGACCATATTCTGGGCCATAGAACAAGTCTCTAAAAATTCAAAAAGATTTGAGATATACAAAGTATGTTCTCTGACCACAACAGAATTAAGTTAGAAATCAGTAACAGAAAGATCTCTGGAAAACTCACCAAATATTTGGAAATTAAATAACAAACTTATAAATAACATATAACTCAAAGAAGAAATCAAAAGGGAAATCAGAAAGCATTTTGAACATTAAAGCAGAACTTAGGGGAAGTTTTATAGCACTAAATGCCTGTATTAGAAGAGAAGGTCTCAAATGAATGACCTCAGCTTCCTCCTAGAAAAAAGGAAATAATAAAGATACCAGAAATCAAATAGAAAATAAAAAATCAACAGAAAAAGCCCAACTAAATCTACAGCTGTTTTGAGACGATTCTTCCCATTTTCTCCACAAAACCCATTCTCTATGTCAGTTAATGATGACTTCATTTTTCCTCCTGCTTAGGCCAAAGTCTTGGACTCTTCCCTGACTTTCCTCTCTCACTCTACATCCAATCTAATCAGGAAATCTTATTGGCTCCATCTCCAAAATATACAAAGAATCCTATCATTTCTCACTACTTCCACTTCCACCACCCTGGTCCAAACCTCTTTTATTGCTCACTTGGTCTATGGCAAGTCTCCTCCTAACTGGTCTTCCTCTTTTTACTGCTACTCACCTCCATCCTTAACCTTTTTTGAACAAGAGGCACCAGAGGCTCTTTTTAGACATGTAAGTCATTTCATGTCACTCCTCTAATCAAAAAGCTCCAATGTCTCCCCACTTCACAAAGAATAAAAGTCAAGATCCTTATAATAGCCTATCAGAACTGATATCTTTGCTGGTTCCAGTCATGCTCACTTTTAAATGCTATTCCTCAAATATGTCAAACACCTTCCTACTTCAAGTCCCTTGCATTTTACTCTTTCATTTGTCTGAAGAGCAATTTCTCCAGATATCCACATGGCCAGCTCTTTCCTTTTCTTCACATCTTTGCTTAAGTGCTGGCTTGTCAGTGAGATCTTTGTGAATATCCTTTTAAAAATTGTAACTTCTCACTCACTGACACTAGCTCTGTCTCCCTGTTGCACTTTTTCCCCATAGAACTTTTCATCCTCTAATATTCTCAATTTTGTGTGTGCTGTCAGCTCCCTCCAACCCCATTAAAGTATAAGTTCCAGGAGGACAATGATTGTGGTGTTTTATTTACTACTGTATCCCCAGACCACTGGGATTATACCTGGCACAGATGCATTTAACAAAGAATTATGAAATGAATGAACTTAGGCTTCCTTATCTGCCACATTTTTGGCAACTGAAGATTTACTAGCTCTTTCTGAAGTTTATCTTGCTTACTGCAACATTCTAGTACCCCTCAAGAGTTTACTGTCATTTTTAAAACTTGGATATTTCACTGAGTACGTGCTGTTCCAAATCACTTTACTTCTCTAGTTAGAAAAAAAGACTTTGGGCAGATAAATTCTGTTTCCTAGTTCTAGTCTCAATTCATGTTAAAATGTTTTTTCTATTGCTGTGCATTTTAATTAGAGCAGTTTTCCATTTCAAGGTACAGCAGTTTGTAAATTGCCTATTAAGATTAATTTTAATATGAATAAAGCACAATAATAAAGCACATAGCTAAACATGGAAACAAGTAAATGTAATATATAAAATTTCATCCTATGTAATAAAATATCTGCCATTATAACAGCCTGATGTTCATTTATGTGTAAGGCTCAAAATTATAAGCAATATGAGATGCTATTTAAAAATAATAAAAGTAACTGAGCCTCATCTGGGCATCTGAACAGTAGTTCTGGCTCAACACTGACTGTACAACCCTAAGAAAGTCTCCTGGGACAAAACACTTGTCCCAGCAATTTTAGACAAACATTTATGAACTGTCATATAAGAAAGATATGTTAGTTCACTATTAAGAAATTACTGTACAATCTGTAAAAGCAAGAGTTATTTCTCAATAGTTTCTTCTTGACTTAAAATTCAAAGTTAATCTTACAAAGTCTGATTAAAATGCAAATTTCCTGTATTTTTTCATGTTTTGAAATAGCTGATGTCAAATGGATTAAAGGAGGTACTTAAATTCAAAATATACTTGTATTTGTTTTTTGATGAAATTTGTGCTGATGGAAAATGACCTATTCATCAAGGCTTTAATGCTAATTCTTAATCGTTTCATGCAATGCTTTTTTTAAAGATTCAAAATATACAACAAATAAGTATTAGTATTTAATGGTTTGATTTTTTGTATATTCCGTTGGTTCTACAAATGTAAACATTTTAAGTTGTACTACAAAACTTTTTTTTAATTTTAAATTTAAATTTTAAAATTTTAAATTTTTTAAAATTTTATTTTTCATAAATTTTAAGGAACAATTTTATAGTGTTAGTACATTTACTTTGAGCATCAATTCCACTTAACTGAGACTACGTTTTCTCTGCCAGAGTCACAGAAGTCTACCCAAATTGTCAATATGTTTGATACATTTTTTACTATCAAAGTCCAGATAAATGTAGTAATTCAGAAAACTAAACTCAAGAATAACATTCAGCATAATGTGAAATATCTGTATTTTAAGTAAATATCAATAAGTCCTTCTGACAAAACTTCTTGCCTTGTGCAAATAGAAATGTTTTTATTCTTCTTAATCATGTTCCTTCTCTTCACTAGTGATTCTTTATACTACCTTATATAGTATAGAATATAGTCAGGTCCCAGTTCAATTATTAGACTCCTATTTTTAAACAAAAGAATTTTAAGTAGGTACTAAGTGTATAATGCACTTAATCAGAAGGTGTCAGTCCTCGAAGACAAGGGATATTGAAAAGTTTGAAGTAAACAAGGAACACACATGTAATGCATAAAACAGAGTTAAGGGTAGGGATAGAAGAAAAGGTAGTTTCAAATAATTACATTCCTTCCAGGAGATTGATTTGTGCTATCATGAGCCACCTGAAAACAATCCCTTGGCTGAACAAAAATTAAATACGCCCCTGTCCTCTCCCCAGTTAAATTCTTTGATACTCAAATTACATATGTAACAGCACTGCAGGGAGACCATGGCAGAAACTACACAAATAGAAAAAAGAGACAGAAAAAAAGCTGAGCCAATCAACTTTTCCAAGATTGTTTTTAGAAACAGGTATAGTAACTAATGAAAAAATATTTTAAGCCTGTATTTTAGTATTGGAAGGTACCCAATAAACAGAGATTTTTAGCATACATATATTATGTATTCTTATGTCACAAGAAATGTTAATTTACACCAAAGTAAATATTTCTGAATAAATTTAATAAATGCACAAAATTATGTAAGGATATCATATCCGAATCTCAGCTTATCTTCAAGTTTCAAGGTGATATAAGTCTGTTCTGGAATCCTTACATCATTCACAAAAGTCTACGAGGAAAAAAAAAGATGTTAGAATGAAGTATTAATTCTTACCTTCAGACAAACAAATTCTCAAATCTGGTACTTAGAAGTACATATCACATGGTGGCTAACACAGCTTGTGAATCATAAGATGTGCCGTGCCTCCCACAGGCTGATAAATGATTTAATACTAAGCTCTTTATCTCTATTACTGGTACCACACAAAAAACCTGGTGCTGCCAAGACAAATTTAAGCCCTTAGAATTGTTCCTCAAAATGATGTCAAGGAAAGCTCCTAATACGAAGCTGGCAAATTGTAACAAGTAAAATTTTTAATTCTTAATATGCCAGTGGGGTTCAATGGACCCAATTTGAACTTTTTTTGGAAAATTCTATTTGTAAGGATTGGTATTTCATTACTTGTATTCTTAGAATTATTCCAAAGAACAAAAAGGAAATTTACTTTTAAAAAATAGAATAAAATTCATTTTATACTGCAGTTTCCATATGGGTCCTGTGGATCCCTTTATGAATCTAAGATACATTATGAGATCTTAGTGATCTTATATTTCCTATATGTTGAAATTCTGCTATTTCAACATTCTAGTAATTATTTCATCTTTACTCATCAATTTCTAACAATGCTGAAAATGACCAAACTATTAATAAAATAAAAAAACAACAGAACTACTTGGAATGGCACTATCCAAGAGAAATTTAAGCCACGTATAATAATAAAATTTTCTAGTGGGCACATAAAAAAGGAAACAAGAAAGAGGCGAAACTAGTTGCAATAACGTATTTTTAATTTAACTCAATATGTCCAAAATAGCACCATTTCAATAAATAATCTATATTAAAAATTAAAAAGGTATTTTACATTTTTTTTATAGTACTAAGTCTCGAAATTTAGACTAGTCATATTTCAAGTGCTCAATAACCACACATGGTTAGTGGCCACAGCAGTGAAAAGCACACAACTAGAAGGATGATGCAATAGTAAAATGAATCATCATTATTTTAAAGTCCTTCAATTTTCTTACTGCAATGCCCAAAATATTGCATCGTCTTTCCAAGAAGATATGTAAGACATCTGGAGATAGTATCTTTGTAAGTTTTCTTTTAAGCTATCAAAGGGAACAGTTAAAAATTCAGAATTTCTAACTTAATGGACATAAAGGCAAAGAGAAGGAAACACACAGGAAGATATTTCACTATTATAAGATGAATACAAAGGGACAGATAGTACTCTAGACTATGATAATAATGAAAAAACTGACAACACAAGCAAAATTATCATACCACACATCTTCAGATGAAGAAAATCCTTAATAAATTTTCTCTAATGTAAGAATCAATGAGAAAAGAATGTTCCCAAGGATAAAAAGAAAATAAGATATTTTCATCCAGTTAGTCATTCAATAAGAAGAATCATGCAATGTTTTTCAATAAGAACCTGAACCATTTTGTATTTTAAAAGTAATTTTGACAGTATTTTTTGTTTGTTTGTGTTCCAACACTTATTTGATACAATTTGTAAATGGACAAATGCTCAAGCCAAGTATCTACACAAGGTGACTACAAGGAAAGTGATGTCACAGAAATATAATTATTTGTATCCTAATTGTTATTTATAAATCTAAATGTAAGAAATGTTTTACAATTATGTAAGAAATAAGATGGCTATCCTTTTAACAAAATTGTAAGCTGTTGAAACTTTCAGAACAATGTTACCATGTAAGAGCAAGAACCAGAAATAATAAACTAAAACCAACTAGGGATGTATTTGAAACCTGGAATCAACACTTATAACATGGATTTATGTCCCAGGTGAATGCATGACAACTGATGCATTAGTCATATCCAAAGAACATTGCCTATTTGTGTATTAAGTACCTTTAAAAGCTAGGAAAATATGGAATAAAAATTTGAGTTTGTCTTACCCAATTTACTATTAAAATTTCAAGTTGTTTTCATTATCCTTTTATTCTTTTTAAAAGAATGTAAAAAGACTTGATATGTACACACACATAATAAAAAGAATCTGCTGGACACAGATGGTAAATGGTGATGATTATTTTTCCTGGCATACTGAGAGTTAAGATCTAGAACTTGTTAGATTTATTGAACACAGAACAAATGTTATAATTTTTTGTATAATTTCCTGGAAAGCAGACATCCTATAAATACCCAGCAAGTTTTTCTTTGATAAAGTGAAACTTCAAAAATTACTCTTCCCCTTTTAATTCCATTTTTTCCATCTTCTATTTTATTGGATTTGAGATGGCCATAGCAGCTTGTTTGGGAAGTCTCCCTCCACAGTGAGGAAGTTTAGAAGGCCCCTGAATGACATACAATAAAATACATAAAGGAATTATGTTTTTATGGTCATATTCTAAATTTCTATGCATAGCTAGCTCTTCGTAATATGTCATAAAATACCAATTTCTAAGTCTACAAAAGAAATTAGAAAAAGTTGCAATCTTAAGTCCAAGCAGATATATCGAGACAGTGGAATACCGCTAAAACTCTAGCTCACACCTTAGTATGATTTAGGAGTAATCCTAAATCACAAACTTCCAGCATGCTTCACAGAAAGATTGAAATGGTAATACAAAGAAAATTCAAATGCTTCTGGAATAATTTCCAGTTCAAAATAAATATTCCAGAGTATTTTAAATCTTATGTCTTGAGTTTACCAAAGTATTCTAACTATAATTACAGAACTGAAAAGGTGGAGAAAATTATGGAAAAAGAGAAGAACTAAATAAAATATTAATTCACCAATGTTTGGTATGCAAAGGATAAACAACTAAGTACACTATGTAAGAGGAATGCCACAGTTCTGGGCCAATTTTATTTAAAATCATCTCTAGTAACCTATAACATCATATTTACTCAAAAGACCTAAGATGACCCACAAGATCCATTTAAAGTTTAAGACTGCTCAGCTCCCTTAAATATTAACCACCTATTGTGTGCTTAATATCCGTACTAGACACTTTCAGCCATCAAGAAACATATAATTTTAGCATGCTGACATTTATGACAGAAATACTCCCTAAGGTCTAAAAAGGCTTAGGAAATATGAGCCAGGCACAAAGTTTCAGCTCACAAAAATGTTAAGTGAAAACATCTGGGAGAAGTGAGTCTCTAGAAGGTTTAAAATTACGAAAGGAATGGAGAAATTTTCAAAGAGCAACAGGAAATAAATTAGGTATGGAAAGAAAAATAAGTTTTGTTTCTATGTCGACACCATCTGGTCACACTTCTACCTGGTAGGCAGGACAGATGAGGAAAATGAGGGACAAATAGTGAAGTAACAATGAGGATCTCATAGTTCAGAAGTGGCAATATTGGGATTCAAATTCAGGTCTTTAAATTACAAATGCCATGTTCTCCCCACATCAAGGAAGATTAGATGCCCAAGCTAATCCAGCTCCCAAAACTCCTCTATCCAAACCACTAACCCCATAGAAGCAAACCAAACTAGATAAATACCTATTTAATTTACATACAACTAAATTACATAATTGATACTATAAAATCATATAACAACCACGTATTATATTGATACTCTGGGCAACTGAATGGAGTAGCCAGGAGCACAATCACCTCGATCATGTTGCCAGCCACAAAAGCCCCCTCTCTTGTTCCCTAACCCTTCCTTTCAGACCTTCAGTGAGGACCAGTCTCTACTCTATACCATAGTGGTCTGATGCTGACAGGAATTTCAGTGTGAAAAGGGGACACAGTGGGAACTGGAACACATATTGCTGAGGGGGCAGCTCAATAAACAAAGGTAGGGTTGGAAGGGGACAGGAGTAGAATGGCAGAGGCCATAGTGCCTATTAGATGGGCAAGTGCTCCAGCAGAAGGAGGAGGCAGGAAGAACCAAAGGCAAACAAGGGTTCTCTTAGAAAGGGAAGCTTCATTGGAACTGCAGGAAAGTGGCCCACTAAAACATCAGCAAGAGAACTGTTCCAGCTTCCTCAGACTGAACAACCTCATTGCTGGTGGCAATAACATAAAAGTGTAGATCTAGGTCCCTTGGGAGTATATTTTGACATAGAGTAAAAGGGAATAGAAGTGGAAGTGATCACTTCTAAGCTGAGTTTAGTTGGTAAGTGCTTTTCTTTAAAATATGACAGTGTTTTCATTGAAAATATAACAGTGTATTAACAGAGTGCTAAAACTGCCTTAGCTGCTTTTCTTAAAATAGTTTGCACTTACTGAATGCTTACTATGTATTGCTATAAGTGTTTAAATTAACTTATTTATGTATTCACAAAAACCTGTGAGGTTAGTACCATTTTATGACTTTTATTTTTAAAAATTGAGCAACAGAAAAATTAGGTAAATTGTCCAAGATTATGTCACTAGTAGGAATTCAAGCTGGGCTCATTAACTCCTATACCGTGTCCTCCCTATTTCTGAAATTACTACTTTTAATCTGATGCTCAAATTTCTAGAATAACGTGAATATTAAGAGTAAATAGGCTGTGAATAATAGTCTACAAGTTATCTCATGAATAAAATGCATGACAGTTGGTAGTTCATTGCCTTTTGATGTTATATGGCTGCCAAATACCTTTGTAGCATGTTTCCTAGGCTGTCATTTGGGTAACAGCACATTTATCATCTGGGTAATGCTTTTAAGTTTTGTAATAGGCACAGACTCACATGTATCATCACATCTAGTTCACAGAACAATAGTACAGAACAGGAATGATCATTTCACAATTTTATAGGTGAAGCAAGATAACTAAATTTTGCATTGCACCTTAATTTTCGTAAACTTCAACTCATTACATTTTCATATATAAATATATATGAGGAAACTGAATTTCAGAGAGATTAAGTGATTTGTTCTATAATTATAACCACAGTGCCTAGCACTACAGATCTGAGATTTAAATCCAGGTTCTGATTTCAAGTTCCAAATGCAGATGGTGCTCTCTGAGCTATCATCTTTCATAAAATTACTGATTATCAAATTGTGAGAAATGTCAGTCTAGAGAAATGTA